GGCAGGGGGCAGGGGGCTGAGCTGAGGGCTAGATCTCCTATATGGATCCTTGGTTGTGGGAGAAGCTGAAGCCTCAGTGGTGTAGGAAAGAGGATGGTCTGGCATGTGGGCCGGGCTTCTCAGGAATGACTGGACCTGGTGTAGACTTGGTCTACAAGTACTAGAACTAGGGTTGGTGCTCGTGCATTGCTTTGCAGATGCATCAGGGTTTTCTTGTAACCCTTGATGGGACTGGGATTGTTGGAGTCAGGCTGACAGATAGCTTAGAGGGATAATTGACTCCCTGGTTATAGGGCTAAAAAGCCCTGTCTTCCCCATTGGCTTGGAACTCAACTATGTAGACCAGACTGGCCAGAGTTTGAATGAGAATTAGTTGGACAGAGGAAAGCGGTGGTTGGTTTGTGGGATGCAAGTCCAATCCAGCCATGGAAGAAGCCCATGGCCAGCTGAGGTTCACAAGTTGTTCTTTATTATTAGTAGTAGTAGTAGAGGTGTCTTTTTGAGACAAGGTCTCCCTGTAGTCCCAGCTGTCCAAACCTGCTCTTTTTAAACTTAATAATTAATGCAAGCTCTATCTTCCCTATGGAAGTACAGCTTTGTGAGAAGCAGGACTTGGTGTGAGCTGGCTCTCTGATGGTTAGGGAGCTTGGCATGGTCAGTGCTATAAAGTAATGGTATGGGCTACATTAGTTAATAGACTTTGAGTTGAATCTCACAAAGATTCTTTACCTGGAAATCAATCAAAAAGATAACTATTCAGTGCATTGAGTGTTGCTGAGTAAAATTACTAAAATGATAGTATCTAATAAGTAATGGAAACTATGAAAGGCATCAAAGTTCCCCAGAGATCAGCCCCTAAATTCTGCTTATCTTGGACCTGATGATAACTTTTTACAGTGTGCTTAGGGGAATGACCACTGAGATGCACCAGTCAGAGAAAGTCCTTGGGTTCTGTGATATTATCCTAATTCACGGGTAGTCACAGGAAACATTGGGCCTGCGAAGCCTGGAGCAGCCGACAATGCTGGGTCTTTGCCTGTAGCCTGAACCCTCCAGCTTTCTGCTAAGTCAGTATAGACTTGGGTGACTTTTCTCTCTGCAGCTCTGTGTTTATTTAGTGATTTTCTTTTTGTTTATAGTTGTGTTATTCAAGGAGACCCTTGAATAACAATGTGCAGTATTACATGATCTAATATTTATGATTTAATCGCTCTATACTAAGCACTAAGGATTTTTGTTTAATCATTTCATTAAATCTTTACAACGAGAAGCAAACAAAGGGTCGGGGGATTTGAACATGGTGGAAAAACCAAACCCGACAAAGACAGCACAACATATGGAAATTCACTAACAGAACTGCCTCATCTTTTCTCTGTTTCAGGAATACCAAATTGACATATTTTTTGCTCAAACCTGGACGGACAGTCGCCTTCGATTCAACAGCACGATGAAGATACTTACTCTGAACAGCAACATGGTAGGCTTGATATGGATCCCAGACACAATCTTCCGCAACTCTAAAACGGCAGAGGCCCACTGGATCACCACACCTAACCAGCTTCTCAGAATCTGGAATGACGGGAAAATCCTTTACACATTAAGGTAAGATGCTGTGTGGTTGTCTTTTGAAACTCATCAATTGATACATTGTTAATAGAATCTGAGGTGGTACTATGTGCACCAACAGCCCAGGAAGCAGAAATCAGAGGAAGGGAATGGATTATTTCAAGGTTGGCCCTGAGGAAAACAGACCTTTTCTGTCTCAAGTCTTTATCTTCTGGGGCTCAAGGGTGCAAAGTGCTATAAACGAGACACAAAGAGCTACTGCGCAGAGGCTTTCTCTTCAGAGTGCTGTCTTCCACACTTCTTTGAATTTCTATGTGGACCTCAGAGCCCTTAATCACCATAGCGGGCATCTGTATTTTCTTTCTAGACAAAAACTTTATCTTCTGCAAGTCAAGTCACAGGAGCTGAGGAAGGAGGAGCCTCACAGAGGCTTCTCATTAGAACTCAACAGAGGCTTCTCATTAGAACTCAAAACCCGAGTGAAAGGGATGCTCCCTTAAAAGAAGGAGGAAAGGATTAGAGAGTGTAACAAAGGGGACTGGTTTACCTGCTCTGTTACATCTTGTGGGTTCCAGATCCCTAAGCACCTGCCTGCCTCCTGCCACAGGGTGAAAGACATTCGTATTGACCATAGATTAGAGGACAGTAGCTTCCTTCCTCTGACACATGCTCCTTTCTCAGTCTTGTGGACCTGCACGAGGTTCCCCTAACCATCTTTCCCTCACAGATACCACCATTCTCTCTCATTCTACACACATTACAGAGCCTTGAGTCATAAGTGATATGTGGCACTGAGGGGAAATCTGTGATTCTTAATACTGGAGTTTCCATAGCACCAGTAGACACAGACAGGCATCAAAAGACAGAAGATAATATCAAATTTTCAGGGACATAATTTTTCAGAAAGGGGCCAACACCAAGAACAACAAAGAGCCACAGCAAGGAAGTTTGATGGTGAAATGTGCTGAGGAAGATGGAGTTTGTAACAGTTGTTTCATCAATAAATTCCAAAGCAATAGAAAGCTGACTCAGAAGGGAAGCTGACCCTCAGCAAACAGTGTGGAGCCGAGCTGGTCCTGGATCCCTTGTAGGGACTTTGACACACATTTCAACATGAATATGCTCACATAGTACAACCACTACCTGCAGGTGCAGTGCAGGTAATTGTCTAAGGAGAAAATCCCCTAGAAATGGATGGATTTGCCATGATACCTGTGTAGACAAGCATACCAGTTTCAAGTAGAAGAAGGATTTCATTTAAACAAATTGAAAACAGTGACCTATAAAACAACAGTTTTTTTTTTCCTTCTCTGTGGCTTGCCTTGTATTTCTAGGCACAGTTGGAATCTTACTAACTAGAACCCGCCCCCCCACACTACTGATAGTTAAAAGCAAAACAACACAATAAGAAAGCAACCAACAGGCCTCACTGTGTGAACCAAAATGAGCTGCTTGTATAGGATACCGTGTCCTGGGACTATCCCTCACACCTGTGTATGGTATCTTACCTTCCGTGGGGGCCTAGGCCTTGGCTGTGTTATCGCTGACCCACAAATTATGCTGGCTCTTCCACAGGCTCACCATCAATGCGGAATGCCAGCTGCAGCTGCATAACTTCCCCATGGATGAGCACTCCTGCCCACTGATCTTCTCTAGCTGTGAGTACTCCACGGGTGTGAGCCTGGGCAAGGAGTGGCTAGTCTGGGCTTGGTCTGTGGCATACAATCCTATGGTTGTACCACTGTCACTATACAACTAAAGAAAACAGGTCACAGTTGTGTCATTGGCCACTGGGGTGATTTTACTCGAGAATTACATAGAACTTATGTCACAAGACAGGTAACTGATTAAGTGGTGAACAACTCAACCATTGGTAGTTATATTCAAAGATTCAGAAATTAATGGGTCATTCACTTCTCAAAGAGACCAATAGTAAGGAGCTGTGCCTATTATTTGGAAGCAAAAGTCTTTTGTAACATTTTTAGGCTAATATTTTAAGGCTTCACCTTCTAATGAGAAGGGCAAAAGTCTTCCTTTTAATGTACTTGTATTTCTCCTTGAGCATATGATGATTGATACTGATGATATCAAACTCTGAAAGCAAAATCACATCCAAAAAGAAATATCAAAAATCAAATGTTTTTGCTTACTTATAAAGCTTTTAAGTAAAGGTCAATAAGGAAAGGCATCGGTTGAATTTATGGTGGTTTATTTTAAATGTATTAATCATAAGTTCTTATGTATGAATCATAAATATTTAATAACTGTATTGACTTTCTTTAAATTGAATATGGAACATGACTGGAAAACTTGAGGAAATCTCAGGCAGGCTGTTTGTGAACTCAAGAGATGGACACACTTTAGAATTTAAGTTCAGAAAAAGTAAGCCAAGATACAGCACAGATTTTCACTAACATCCTAGACTTAATAAAAATTCTCATCTAAAGAACGGTTAACAATTAGTTGGATCTAAATGTACTACATTTGTTGATCACACAAATGTCAGTGCCTAGGAAGTGGATGCGGATATCTATGTTGTGGTAAACATGGAGGCATATCCTGTTGTACAGTTTTTTTCTGTGTTTGCTTTAATAGTCAGAGGGCCAGCCAAACCATCTACAGCCCTGTGAGCTGTTCAGTGCTCATGTGGACATGGTCTCTGCAGGTCCTCTTTGTCAGTGGCCAGCTGGTTTTCTTGTTCCTTCCAATACGCTCATACACTGCAACTCATCTTTTGATGTGGTTTGGGTGGTTGTTTCTACTACCAGGCATTTTCTTTGCTCTTTTTTCTAATCTCAATTTTAACAGTTTTGGATTTCTTTACCAAATTTTTAATGACTTCTATTTTAAAAATTATTCAAAAATATTCATCTTTGTGAGACATGTTTGTACAATCACTTGGTTGATGATTTATTTAAATTAATGCTTCCTGGGACTTTTACTCTGTGATTTTTTTTCTTTATGCTTTTTACTGCAGCCTTGTGCTTGCTAAGTATGCCTTCTGCCACTGAACTAAACCCTTATGCACTCGCTGCTTCTTTGTGAGTGACCCCTGGCCCCTTTCCTATGGCAATTTCCAATTTGGTTTGTCCCACTACATGTTGGTAATGCCTGGTGCAAAATATCATCTTCGGTGTCTGACTTCTTTTACCCATCAAGATGCTTTTGTGACTCCTAAGTGTTGGCATGTGCATTGGTAGTTCATTTTTCTATCACTGTAAAGTTTAAGCCTGAGAAGCTGGGCTGTACATATGGTGTAAACCTTAAGTCTATACATATTTGCAATTTTGTGCTTAGGATTGTAAATTCTTATGATAGAAAAGCACTTTTGCTGTTTTACTCCTTCACAGTCAAGGCCGGGCAGGAGAAACTCTTTTAGAGGGAGTTTTCCAGGAGACAACTTGCTGAGGAATTTTGCTTCTAGAATTCATCTTCTGCCACAGCCTGGCCTTGATCCTGATGTTGTCCTTTGCCTATGTGAAGTGCTCAGGATCCCAGAAGTAGGCAGGGCCTCTAGTGCTCTAGTGTGAGCATTCCCTCTGAAATCCTTGTCTCTTCCTAAATGATTTCCCTTATACCCTTATGCTTTCAAAATGCATTTAAATGTTTTGCAAAACTTTTTTACTCTTTCCATCCCAGAATCATGAAATTTGCCCTACTTCTAGAAAGAAAATTGCTTGTACGGACTGTTTTAAATATAGCTCATAGAAATAAAATAATTAATTCTGAAAGAAACCTAATATCTACCACTTAGAGAAACACTACTCTGAAGCCTTAACTACCAGCAGTGCCTTTCTGGAACGAGTTGATAACTACAATAAAGTACCAGGAAGAAGTCTGTCACAGTTTGTGAGCTCAGACATATTTAATTCCATGTGTCTGGTAAAGAAAGTGGGTGAAAGGTTGTCAGGGTGGAGTAAAAGGTAACTAAGGATCTTAAATACAGCACCAGAAAGGAAAACTTTTATCATGTAGGTAAGTAAAAGCTATTACATCTAAAAATCAGGGAATGGGATGATAAAGCATGTTTAAGGACAAATAAGAAGACATTTTGTAAGAGCAAAGTAGGTAATAGAACACTATACCCATTAGAATGTCCCAAATCCAAATCATGGGCCAGGCCAGAGCTGGGGGTGTGGAGCTGATAGGAACGGCAGCTACTTTGGTGACAAATCAATAGTTTACACGAAATTAAAATGAACATTGCTATATGATTCAGAATTTGTACTCATTAGTATTTACTGAATGAATTGAAAGGTTGTGTCCAACTGAAACCTGTAGGCAAGTGCTTACAGCAACTTTATTCATCACTGACAAGATGTGGAAGCACTCAGTGCATGGATACAGAAGCTGTTGCATGTCTGGCAGTTAAATATTATTCAACACTAAAAATAAATGAGCTAAAAATAATAAAAATAAAATAAATGAGCTATCAGGCCATGAAACAACACAGAGGAAACAATAGCTACTGCTAAGTGAGAGAAGCCCGTCTGACAAGGCCACACACTAATTCCAACTGTATGGAATTCCAGAAAAGATGAAAGTATGGGGACAGTGAGAAGATCAGTGGGGGTCAAGAGTGAATAGATAGAATAAAGACATTTTTAGGATATTGAATATAATCTGATACTACAATGTATTTTTCCATTTATCCAAATCCATTGAACACTACCAAGAATGAGGTTCATGTAAGCCGGGGCTTAAGGGGATACAGATATCCCCACACCAGTGTGGGCTCATTGATTTTATTGGATACAACACTATACTTCAGGCTGTTCAGAGTTAGGGAGGGCACAAATGAGGAGAGCCTGGGAACACTGCATTTTCTGCTCATCTTCCCAGTGAACCAAAAACAGCTTTTCATGACCTTCATCTGGAAGGAGAGAAGGTTGGAATCTACTCTAATAACAAATAATAATCCCCTCTAGCGTTACACCATCAAAAAATAATCAGGAATATAAATATAAAATATAAAACTGTGCATTAAATTGTTTTACTTTATTTTATGTGTATTAGTATTTGCCTGCATGTATATAAGTGCACAATGTGCATACAAGCCTGTGGAGACCAGAAGAGGTCTTTGGAGTCCCTAGAACTGGAGTTATATGCAGTGGTTAGCAGCCATGTAGGTTCTGGGAACTGAACCAAGGTCCTTTGCAAGGGTAGCCAGTGCTCTTAATTGCTGAGCCACCTTCCAACCCTGTTTTCAAGTATTTTTGTTGAACTAATTTACAGGTATAACATTCATTCATATATATTATTCGTTATTATAATGAAACATTCTAACCCCTTGTTAATGAAAATACCCTGCTTAGCTGGAATCATGCTGGAGCTTCTAGCGGCATCAACCTGACATCTGAGTCTTCTCTGCTTAGGGGCAGGGGTGTTATTAGGACAGTGCCGATCATGGTGCTGATAAGTAATTGAAAATAAAGTGGTGTCTATGGACACCATGATACTTGCAGTGAAAAATAGTAAGTAGCTTAACTTTTTCTACTTGAAAATAGAAACACTAGCAAAACTGAAGTTATTTACATACCTTGTCATACAAATAAATTCTAGGAAGCTTATCCAGAATGCACAGTAAGATCTGAAGTGATCATTTAAATGATCAGGGCAGCTTTCTACTCATTACATAACCATCTTGTGGGGATAAAATCTTAACCCAAGTCACTGAGCCAAGATTGCTCATCGTTTGTGCAAATGTGCTTTGGCAATAAATTCCCTAACAGAAATGTTTTCCTTCAGTAGACTATGTAAGTTGTACAAAACTTCTCAAACAATGACAGGCAGATAAAATTTCCAGCACATGGGGAGATGAAGCAATGACTTTTTCCACATAGCATATGCTTTGGTTACTATTTTGGCATGGAAGAACAAGTTCAGCGCTTCATTCATGCCCTTGTGCTCTGCCACTGAGCTACGCCCCCAAGTAAGCCCAGGTTTCTTGGTTATTGATAGGGTTTTAATTTTTAAAAAATAATTGATGTTTATGTTATATCATTTCAATTAATTAAAAATATCCATAAATTTTACTCTGCAGTCATTGAATTTAAGGATCACATTCTAGCAACACACAGTGTATACTAAGGAAGGCCCTGGAGTAGAAGCTTTTATTGCACACTCAGGTGCTCATTGCACACCCACATGGCATTAAACCCAAATATAACATCTTACTCTTCTGCATCTCTGAAATCTGATATGGGTTCCAAAAAAGTATCTGCAGGGCAAGCTTCCTTCCTCTCTGCTTGTGCTTTTCAAGCTCTGGGGGCTGCTCATATTTCTTGGTGAGTGGCCTCCTCCTTCCATCTTCAAAGATGGAAACATCACACAGCCAAGTTCCTTCTTCATTCTCTTTCTTTGCTCATAGTCAGGAAAGTGTCTCTGCTCTTGGGGACCCTGGTGATCAATGGTACACACCCACACAGCCACAGTCGCCCTCTGCATCTGAGGTTGCTAACTCAACTATATTGTCCAAGTGTCCTCTGCCATGTCAGATAACACATCAGCAGGGTCTGGGGTCTAGGGTGTTAACATCTCTGGGAATCACTGTTTTGTCTTCCTTAATTGCTAGTTGCTCAGAACATTCTAGGATATGGAAACTTGCTGGCAGACACACCATTGGCAGTTGTATGATATAGGAGAAACCCCCAGCAAA